AATTGCTCGGCATTTTCCAGAGAATTTGGGACGTTCTATTTGGGTTTTCAACATGAAAAATACTAGTAAGATAATTATAATTGGAAAATTTTGTCTTTTAAATGTCAATAGGCAAAGGTAGAGAGTGGAATGTTTTCTCGATGCAGCTGCGGAGGGTTGATGTGTTTATAGTTTTGTGATTAAGATCAAGAGATGTGTTTTTGTTAAGCATGAATTATTTGCAAAAGTTGAATTCAAGCAATGCTCTGGTTCGTGATTCAATTGGCCTGTTTTGTATTGTAAAATTGGCCTGTTTCCAGGATATATCTTGTTCACAGTAATTTTTAGCAAAGTTGTGTTTGACTGTCAGCTCAGAGTGTGGGTAAAAAGGAGTCCTCCATCTTCAATTTTGGTTGAAGTGTGGTATCCAACTTGAATTACAGCTAGTCAAATTTGCTTGTACTCACCATCCGTCCCACTAAATTGTGAACTGCCCTTAAGAAATAACGGATCATTGTAGCTGCTAAGTGATTTTAGTTACGAACCAGACGATTTTCCAGCAACCTAGGATAATAGTCCATTCTATTATATCCCACAGACATTACGACTTCTTTATTCCAATAATGAAAAAAATGTCACCGTTCTTCTCAAGAATGAAAAAACTTCATGGCTTTGATGTCTTACATTAGTACGGATATGTGTAGAACTAAAAGCTGTATTCCTGTTCATTTAGAATATTTTGATTTAAATCTGTTGTGCATTTTACTTTTTCAGTTTCCTCATTTTTCTTTTTTCGTTCTTTGGTGTCAATTTCATGAACAGAATAGGTGGGGAACATGTTCTTTTATATTGGGTAACTCAATCAATGCCATTACTAAATTAATTGGGGCCAAAATATGAATCCCTTATATCCATTATGCTTTGTTCAGGCGATTTAGTGTTTAGAGGATTCATCATAGACGACTATCATTATACTGGCTGTCAACCTATCTTAGACCACCAGTTATGCTTTGAAGTAGGTTGAGCATTCACATGTATTGGGTGTTTGTTCTAAATTTTGTTTTCATGTATTAATATCTGTAGAATTGACGTGCCTCTGGTTTTGTTGTAATGTTATGAAGAAACTCATCAATTGATTGACCTCGGATTTTCTTTGTAGGCTAACTCTGCATCAGGCATGGCTGTGCACGACGATTGCAAACTGAAATTTTTGGAGTTGAAAACTAAAAGGGCTTATCGCTTCATTGTATTCAAGATTGAGGAAAAGCAAAAGCAAGTCATTGTGGAAAAGCTCGGTGAGCCGGCTGAAAGTTATGAGGACTTCTGTACACACCTGCCTGCAAATGAGTGTCGTTACGCTGTCTATGATTTTGACTTTCTGACAAAGGAGAGTGTTCCAAAGAGCAGGATTTTCTTTATTGCATGGTAATGCTGAATGATTAGCATTATTCTAATTTATTCAAGAATTTATATCCTTTTATTGCTTGTAATTATCCCCCAAAAAATACTTTTATTGCTTGTTTTTGGATGTTGTGCACTAACTATTGATATTTGTTATTGTTACTGTGTGTTTTGCATAGGTCTCCTGATACCTCTAAGGTTAGAAGCAAAATGATCTATGCTAGTTCCAAGGATAGATTTAAGAGGGAATTGGATGGGATTCAGATTGAGCTGCAAGCAACTGATCCAACTGAGATGGGTTTGGATGTCTTCAAAAGCCGTGCCAACTAAATAAAGTTCTCTAGTACAGCATTGGATGTTCTCTTTACTTTTGTTGAAGAGAAGTGTTAATATTTGTTGGGACAGGGTCCTGGCTAAGATATGATATTGGTCTGTTGTCAAATTCTATTTTAAAAGGCTTGTCATCCTGTAGACATTATGTGGTTTTGGTCTTATTTTGTGGTGTTTGAGCGTGGAACTTATGACATGAGTAGCTTTTGGGGGCTGGTACGAGTTAACAATTGTTATCAGATTGTTCCTTCTTTCATTTTGTATGTTTCTTCTTATCCTGTTGCATGTTCTGTAATCCGTTTATGCGTTATCATGCTGGCTGGGTGCTGCTGCTATTTTTTGTCTGTCTTCCTACAATTTTTGTTAGTTTTTGTTTTAAATACAGGGCAGGAGGAGGTTGAATATTTTGGGCTGTTGCCAGTTCTTTCTGGATGTGATGACTAGATACTAGGTGGGGATTGAACATTTTAGCACTTGACAGGGTAACATGTACTACCTGGAAAAACAATCAGTAAATTATTTGAGGGAGCTTTCCTTGTTGGCAGACACCAATAAGTTAAAGACATTAGCTGTCTGCTCTCTCAAGTTTGACACTCTGGGGAATGTAGACTTGTCCCAAAGTGGGAGTTGAGTGGTGATTGTTTAGTGTTGACTCATATGGTGTACATCTAGTGGTGACAAAATGGATAAAAGAAAACAGTTATTCATTCATATTATCTATTAAAAAACGGGTTGGATAATTAACTGTTTAAAAGTGGGTCAAATATGGATAAGAACCATATTATCTACTTAGAATATGGATAATCAATGGATAACCAGCGAGTTTAACTTTTACATTTGTAAAGCTTAAAATTCGGAATTCCTCCATCCTCAAGTTGGGAGACGAGAAATTCTCCCAAAAAAAGAGGGAGAAATTCCAAAATAGCCAGATTTACAAGTGGTCATTAAAAAATAGTCACAGTTTCAAAAGTAATTAAAATCTAGTCACTTTTCATGTAAAGATAAATCTGAACGAAAATATTGTTCAAAAATCCGAAAAAATACTCCAGTATATTATACTGGAGTTCCAGTATAATATACTGGTTCGACGCTCTAATCTCTAGTATATTATACTGGAACTTTCCGCGTGTTGGAGTTCCAGCATAATATACTGGAAGTTTATACACAAGAGCACCGATCTCCAGTATATTATGCTGGAACTTTCCGTGTTGCAGCAAAATAGTGACTATTTTTCAACGACTTTGCAAACACTGGCTATTTTTGAATGACCAGTTCGAAAACTGGCTAGCCCACGGAAATGATCATATTCAAGAAGTCATGGACTCCGTCGATTAATTTATTTTTTATCCGTATTAAATATGGATCGGGTCGGATAATTTATCCGTTTTTTTGCATTACTCCTTTTCGACCAGTCCCATATTCGACCCGCCTGTTTGCCACCCCTATGTACATCTAATGGCGATGGTATGTGATTTAGCTCACAATGGAATACAAAAAAAAAATCTTGTGCTTTGGGTAGGTTAAAAATGTATACATATAGCTAGAGACGACAGACAGTTTGGATTCAAAGGCGTATTAGGTATGGCACTTTGCTTTGGGAAGGCTAAAAATTTGGTACTCCTTCCATTTCTATTTATGTAATGTAATTCGAATTTTGAGTAAAACTTTTTAATGATTAAGTTCTCACATGATCTTTTGTAAGCTAATAATGACTAGAAGGCAACTTTTGGAGACCGTTGAATTTTAGTATATATAGTTTTTCGCTGCCTATTGTCATCTCTGCTAGGCTGAAAAGATAGCTGTAGAGGAAAAAGTATTGAACTCTGCAAAAATCTGTAAGAGAAGTAAAAAAAAGGTTAGGTCGGAGAAAATAAGAGAACGCCGTCTGGTGGGTATCGAAGCCACGCGCCTTACCACTGAGCTAAGAAAGCTCTGATGTTAACCCGAACGATATTTTATATATATTACCTTTATCTACACCTTAAAAAGACACTATGCTTATGGTCATCATTCCTATATATCCACAGCAGCATTAGCAAAAATCCCAATGCATTTTTAAAGGTTACTTGATAAGTTTTATTCTCTTATATATGTATTTGCTCCTAATTAGCAGTTTGATAGCTTTGATCCCCCTAAACACATGTTCATTTAGGCGTGTGAGAGCGAAAAATTGTAAAATCTAATAGGAGTATTTTTCAACTATTAATTGTCACGAAATTACATATAATGATTTAGTTGTTTCAATTTTGTATTTTTTCTTGTCTCTTCTGAATATACAAGACCATTTTTTTCTCAACTTCCCATTTCTTTTTAAGCCAAAATAGTAGAGTTCCAGTATATATATATATATATTTAAGATTTGAATTTTTGTGCAGTGGAATAGATATATACAATGATATAAAGGGCAACCCAATGCATAAAGCATTCCGCATCACGCAGGATCTGGGGATGAATTCCACCCGAAGGGGTGTGATGTAGGTAGCCCACCCTGATGCAAGCAACAGAAACTGATTCCATAACTTGAACCTATGATCTATAGGTTTCACTTTACAACGATATCTTTTATGAAATTGAATGGAATCTTTAATTATGGAAGAAACGTAATATTACTCATCATACGTGGTGCATTAAAATTATAAAATACTTGATAAAATTTTTTAAGCTTATTATTGGTAATCTTAGAGATTTATATGGTTATTATAGATGAGTAATTTTAGAAAGAGTGTACTATTATAAAGACGATTGTTCCTATTATAGGCAAAAAACTATTATAAAAAGGTAAAATATAATATAAAAATTAGTTTCTAGAAAAATTTAATTTTTATGATGAATGACTGTTATAAAAAACTCCGACTGCATTTTTTATTTTGAATTCTTAAAGTTCAATGATGCAGTAGTGATTACTTTAGAGCAAAACTTTTTTCCTTCTTTTAAATTTCAATTTATTATTCCACGCCTATCTGCTATTGTTGTTTCGTTAATCAAATGTTAACTAACAGATTATGGTATAATCATCAGACAATCATTGGTCAACTTGCAGACATAAAGTTTACGTACTTTCAAAACAACAATGAGACAATTCAATATTACAGACTTTGGAGGCTTTTTGTAAATCATAAATTTCAAAAGTACACGAGAGGTATTACTCATATATGTCTTGAACTCGATCCTTCTACATTTAAAAACTATTCAAGATCTTAAAATAATTGTTGGTATTTTCATTTTTTATTTGTTAGGATAAGATTGATTTGTTAACAGAGAGAAAAAAGCAAAAAGAAAAGCAGTGAATATAACGAATTTGATCTTTTTATTGATTTATGCACAAAGTACACCAAGGTATTACAAGAAAACAACTTGCAATAACTACTATAGGAAATGAATAAAACGAGGACAATGTGCAAGAAGGCCAAAAGAGAAGTAGAAGCAAACTGGTCTATATCGTAACGAAGAATCAATCTTTCAATTGAATATCTTATTCCATAAAGCAATTGCTTTATACTATTGATGTTTTAATTTTTTCCGCAAGAAGGCAGCGTTTATTTTGTTCTTCAGACAAAAATCTGAAAAGAAACAATGAAATAGAAGATTAGAACTTAATTCAAAGAAAAGAAGAATAAAAAGTTGGTTCATATGAAAAAAATACACAATTCAAACAGCTACTCACTCGATTGATTATGGAGAATGGCTGCGCTCCTAGAAATCCTTAATAGTGGATTGGAGGTGGGGGAGAAGCATAAATGTATACTGGTGGAGGAGGTGAGTTGTAGTAAATGGGAGGAGGAGACTTTACTGGTGGAGGTGGAGAGAGGTAGTAGTATGGAGGTGGAGGAGAAGGTGATGGCAGATGAGGAGACTTGTAATAGTAGGGTGGTGGAGGTGAGGGCGATGGTGGAGGTGGAGATTTATAGTAATAGGGTGTTGGAGGAGATGGCGATGGTGGTGGTGGTGACTTATAATAGTATGGGGCAGGAGGAGAAGGAGATGGTGGTGGGGGAGATTTGTAGTAGTATGGTGGTGGGGGAGATGATGGTGGTGGTGGAGGAGACTTATAGTAATATGACGGAGGTGGTGATGGAGATGGTGGAGGAGGTGACTTGTAATAGTAAGATGGTGGTGGTGATGGGGATGGCGGGGGAGGAGATTTGTAATAGTAAGATGGTGAAGGTGATGGTGATTGTGGAGGAGGAGACTTGTAATAGTAAGATGGTGGTGATGATGGAGATGGTGGGGGAGGAGATTTGTAATGGTAAGATGGTGGAGGTGATTATGATGGTGGTGGTGGTGACTTGTAGTAATATGGAGGAGGAGGAGAATGCGATGGTGGTGGAGGAGATTTGTAATAGTAAGGAGGTGGAGGCGATGGTAACGAAGGTGGTGGTGATTTATAATAATATATGGGTGCAGGTTTCGGTGATGGTGGAGGCGGAGACTTGTAATAATAAGGAGATGATGGGGACTTAGTTGGTGGCGACGGAGATTTGTAAACGTATGTACGGGTTGGGGGAGGTGGTGACTTATAAATATATGCTGGTGATGGAGGAGGTGGTGACTTATAAATATAAGTTGGCGATGAAGGTGGAGGAGATTTGTAGTAGTATGGAGCAGGTGTAGGCTTAGATTTTATGCATTTCGCATAAGGTGTCTTAGAGCCATAAGCAAATGGTTTTGCATAAAGTACAACTTCATAATGGTTCTTTGACTTCACTTTGAGGTTAGCACCATTTACTCCCCAATGAAGGTTTGTAGGAATGTCACAATTTGAATCTTTTGGAGCACTGTGGAGTTTAGCCTCGCAAGCCTTTGCTCCATATTTGCTATATTCAAATCCTTTAACAGTAATGCTAAATTTGCCGTTGATCTTTGTGGTACCATAACTCACAATTTTCTTGTCACCAGCCTTGCAAGTTATCTCAACAACAGCACCTAAATATAAAAAAAAGAAATAATATATTAAGTAACACTAAAATAATGGAGCTGCTAACATATGCCCCAACCTTACTTTTCCCACTTCATGCAAGAACCAAATTTGTCTTGTTCATAATATAAAACTAACCTTTCGATCACATGACAAAAACTTATATTTTTCTAATTTATTATTCTTAAACTAATAATTAAGGAAACACATTGCAAGTTAATATGGGCATTGGGAGATTTGTGTGCCAACACAGACTTTCGCCGGCTTCACGTGAGATAATCACACCCTCAGAATAAATACTTCATTACCAAACAAGAACTACCTTCATTTTCAATAGTTTACGAATCACTAACTTGTAATTTTTTTTGACATTTTAAATCTTAATTTTCAAAAGGAAGTGAAGGTGGCTTATTCAAATCTTTAATTGCACATTTCGAAATCAGTAAAGTATGATGAATCTTATATCCAAATTAAAAAGAAACATTTATGAATTCCTATAAGAGCTTAAAAAATAAAGCAACAAAAGGAAAATATAGTGTTAAATAAAAATGTTGATGATAAATTAAAAGAAATTAAAGGAAGTGGGTGTGGTATAAAGATTATTGTACCTTTTAGGTGTTTCTTGCCATGAGACTTTTCTGGATATTTTGAATCATAGCATCTAAAACAGTATACCTTTCCCACAACCTTGACCACCATATAATGACGTGGAGGATAGTAATGAGTAGGTGGTGGTGGTGAAGTGTAGGAGTATGGTGGGGAAGGCGACTTCTTTGGCGGTGGTGGGGAGGTGTAGTAATATGGAGTTGGAGGTGACTTTACTGGTGGTGGAGGAGAAGAGTAGTAATATGGTGGAGGAGGTGATTTCTTGGGTGGTGGCGGTGAGGAATAGTAATATGGTTGAGGAGGAGATTTAACTGGTGGTGGTGGGGAAGTGTTGTGATATGGTGGCAGAGGTGATTTTTTTGGTGGTGGTGGTGAGGAATAGTAATATGGTGGAGGAGGAGACTTAATTGGTGGTGGTGTGGAAGTGTAGTGATATGGTGGCGGAGGTGATTTCTTTGGTGGTGGTGGTGACGAATATTGATATGGCGGAGGAGGAGACTTCATTGGTGGTGGTGGAGAACTGTAATAGTATGGGGGAGGAGGTGACTTCGCAGGTGGTGGTGGGGAAGTGTAGAGATATGGTGGGGGAGGTGATTTCTTTGGTGGTGGTGACGAATATTGATATGGCGGAGGAGGAGACTTCACTGGTGGTGGTGGAGAACTGTAATAGTATGGGAGAGGAGGTGACTTCGCAGGTGGTGGTGGGGATTTGTAGTAGTAGTAGGGTGGGGGTGGTGATGGAAATGGAGTAGGTGGAGATTTATAGTAGTATGGTGGAGGAGGTGAATGAGAAGGTGGTGGTGGAGGCGAGGGAGAAGGTGGAGGTGGAGACTTATAATAATATGGAGGTGGTGGTGAAAGTGATGGTGGAGGTGGAGACTTATAATGATACGGGGGTGGTGAAGGTGATGGTGGTGGAGGAGACTTATAGTAATATGGTGGAGGTGGCGATGATGATGAAGGTGGAGGAGATTTATACACATACGGTGGCGGGAGAGAAGGTGACAGAGGAGGTGGAGATTTGTAGACATAAGGTGGCGGTGAAGAAGGAGTTGGAGGCGGCGGTGACTTGTACTCGTATGATGGAGGTGGTGGAGAAGAATATATATAAGGTTCTGCTGACGCTATATTAGCAACAACCAATATGGCTAATGCCACTAAGATTGGTGGCAAATATTGACGACCCTTGGCGGGGCCGCCACCGTGAAGCCTCATTTTATGCCGGAAAATTAATTCCTGCACCAGCCTCCCAAATATGGCTATTACTTAAATTTCCAAAAGCTTTGAAGGGGAAGAAGAAAGGAGATAATGTTGAGAGGTGATGCCTTTAAGGGATTCAGTGGCCAATGTATTTATAGTAACATTCCTATAGAGAAGTAGTTGTTAGTAAGAGCTGTTTAAAGGACCAATTCAATTGGTCTGATTGATAATCAAAGACTAAAAATTATTCAACTCTTAACAACTGGATCTACCAGTTATAATCTTATTTATTAAAGTCCATTTCTGGATCATTTTGAGTATTTTCATAGTATCTTTTTTGCAAGTAGTTAGTTACATGTATTCATATTTTAAACTCTATGAATTCAACCTTTAAGATTTTTAGTATTAAACTCATAATATTGGGCTTAGACCTACTATTTTTTTTGTAATTTTTGTAAAATTTTATATATAAATTTATGCTCCGCATCAAAAATAATTTTGATGAACCCGGTGCGTCGATTATCTACATCTGCTCTTCTACAAAAAACAAATAAATGAGAAACAACATATATGAATGTGCAACCTTAAAATGGTGTAAAGCAAAGTGATTGCTATTTTTTTTAATATTTCCACTCTCTTGCCATTTTGCTTTTCATGAAAACTGAAATATCATACAATTTTGCTTTTCAGCTATAGTAGAGTATTGTGGTTGACTTTGGATTTAAAAGGGGAATTGAAATAGAGCAATTTTTCTTGTAATATTGAGTACTTTTTCTGTTTTATTTCTTCATTTTCATCAAGCTAAGTAAAATAATAATTAGTATACTTTTCTTTTGCAAACTACGTCACCGATGATGACATAAATAGTTCATATGCAGATAAATTAGTAAATTTTTTATTTAACCAGTTATAAAAACGTATGAAATTAAATAGTTCTAAAAAGAAGAAAATTCGCTTTCGTTCTTTTATATGCTTTAGGTGTTCCTCTATTTTCCAACACGATCAGCAGATAAAGCTCCAAAATAATTATAAGTATTGATTCCACATGCAGTTGATTCCATCATTGCGAATTCACGTGAACTTTCAAGAGAACAGAAAGGCCATAATACAATGACGAGTTTTCGTTAGTGGAAGAACAGTGGATCACAAAGCCCAAAAGTAGAAGAAGAATAAACGATAACCGAAAAAAAGGGAAAGAGCAATTGTGGATGGTTGTTACGTATCGTTTCATAATGTATCGTATCGTATTGGATTGTATTGTACTGTATCGTTTGATGAATATAGTGTTTGGATGGATTGTGTCATTTTGGCGTCGTTTCATGGTATCACGCACCTGTGATATGATGAATAAACTTGCAATATTATAAAGAAAAATTATGATACGGTATATAAAAAGGTAGGGTAAATGATAAAATAAAATTATTTAATAATAATGAAGGGTGAGATTGAGAGAAAAACACAAGGAAACGACGCGACCACACCAAATCGGTCGTTACATAAAGTGGCACATTTCATCGTTACGTAACGAAGGATTTAACGATACGATACAGTAAAATTTATGTAACAATCAAAACAAACATTGTATTTAAAATAACAATACGATACGATACGATAGGCAACAACCATCCAAACAATAGTGTGATAAGGGTCGGGAACATGTATAATACGAATATTAAATAATAACATTTAATTAATATATCTTTATTTGTAAATATTATAACAATTAATATAAGATAATTTAATTATTTATCTCGCCTAACTAGTAGACTAGGCTTTTCAAACACTCCCTTTTGTTAAATGCAACACGTCCTTTTATTAATTGTGATTAATGAGCTATTCGTATCATTCACAAATGGCTCTAGTTTTGATTTATGTTTGATATTGCCACCTATATCTCTCAACAAAACTTTAAAGAATCAACTAGTGAAATTATATTGTTCGCGCTTTGCGATTATAAAAAGGATCATTTAGTTTTTTTTTAAGTGACTTTAGTCGAGATAGAATATGTTAGGTTTTTTATGTACACACATATAAAATCTAGTTATTTTATGAGATCATAATATAATTAGTTTTGTTAGAATTAGAGCATATATGATTGCATTTTTATTATTGTGTTTTTCGAAGAGAAACATATATAATGGGTGTTTACTTGGTTTTAATACACTAATATTCTAATTTTAATTATATTCTAGATACACAAATGTAGGAGTATTTGATTTCTTTTAATTTCATTAGATAGTGAAACTTCAGTTTCCCTAAAATTCTCTTTTCAAATTAAAAGAAACACTGAAAAAAAATGTAAAGAAGCTAAAGAAACAAAAAAATTATAAATAATCTCATATTCCATAAAAGCCATGGACATTACTCCTCTATCCTCTATTATTTTTCCCTCTTTTTTTACTGTTAATTCCTATGTTATTTTCTCCTCTAAACTCTATTTCCCCCCTCTTTCCTACTGTTACTTAACCCAATTTTTTAGTATTGATCGTGAAATTAGACACAAATTCTTCAAGTTCTGAAAATAAAATTCACATATTTAGAAGCTACATAAAAAATATTACAAGTTATAATAATTTATAATTCAAAATACTTATAAAATATCTAAGAAAAATATGCTGTCACGACCCAAATTTTCCGTCGTAGGATATCGTGATGGCACCTAGTCTTTAAGGACTAGGTAAGCCTAGCATTAACTGAATTAATAACAATATTTCACTAACATCTGACAATTTCGAAATAGAATTCTCCATACAAATTTATAATCCCAAAACCGGTAGTACAAGTCATAAGCTCTACTGAGTTTGCTAGAAAACCAATAAATACAAGTGTTTCGAAAAAAAGATAAATAGTGTAAATACAATATCAGAAGGTGACTCCGAGCCTGCGAACACAGCAGCAGGTTTACCTTGAGTCTCCACAGCAAGATCCGTACAACTAGCTAGCGATCGACTGACTCTGAAATATCTGGATCTGCACAAAAGAGTGCAGAAGCGTAGTATGAGTACACCACAGCAGTACCCAGTAAGTATCAAAACTAACCTCAGTGGAGTAGTGACGAGGGAAAGTCAAGACACTATTGGACTAGATAACCTGGACAAATTTAAGTATAGAACTAACAAAGCACGATATCTCTACGAAACTACGAATAATGACAATAATAATACAGTGCTTGCAAAAAGAAACAAATGCAACCATTAGTAGCGAAACACAACAAATAATAACACAGTAGAGTAAGCTAAACACGGTCTAAATCCGATGAAATCAAATGAAGGAAGGGAAAGTAACATCTCGACAAGAATAACCTCTTTCACACCAGGTTCATCCAATAATCACCACGAGGTACCAAACCTCAGAATATTCACAAGTCACGGGTCGCACTTTGTGAACCCTAAACACTTGGAATCTTGTGCCATCATTTCAACTAGTAACTGCACGGACAATGCACGTGCCAATAGAACCATTCTCACATAGAAGGCAAGTAGGCGGGGGTGTGTACAAATACTCAATAATATCAGGATCCATCTTCTTAAACCGATAGGAGTGATTATCTGCGTGTATGCTTGTGCAAGTGTTCTAGTACAGTTCAAGCCAACTAGTAAGTGTAGAGAAAGTGAACAACACGTAAGAATGTTCCCCACAATTTTCACAAGATAAAACTCATACATGTAGGTACTCCACTACACAAATATCAACAACAAGAATGCCCACAGGCCATCACAAGTCATCACAGATCAATCCCTGACATAGCCCACCTTATCCCGCCACGAGCGTAATAATAAAGTAAATGACCGCCTTGTCTCGCCACACATGCATAATAATATTACCACCTTGTCTCGCCACATGCGCAACCCACATATATAGTCCGCCTTGTCACGCCACATGTGCAAATAACAATAGTAACAATAGCATGGCAGAAACCCCGTGCAGCACAATAACGATCGCACGGTAGAAACCCTGTGCAACACAACAACAACCGCACAATAGAAACCTCGTGCAACACAATAACAACCGCACGGCAGAAATCTCGTTCAACGCAATAACAACCGCACGACTGAAACCTCGTGCATCGCAACACTGAGTACAACAACAACAATGGCAATAATACAAGAATACGACAAGTAAATCAACCCAAGAGCTTTAGAATACAAAGAAACGGTAGAACAAGCTAACAAGGAATAAACACAATAGAGGTTACTAGTCAGAATAAGAATAGCTCAACAAGGGAGAATAATATGTAACAATGACTCCACAAGAGTAGGTAACATGAGTCAATAATTCCAATAAGGATGAGACAACTATGATAAAGGATAACTGACTTCATTTAGGATTGAGCAATCACGAAAGATATAAAACAACTGAAATTAAGGATAAACAACGGAAAAGGTAACCATGACTTCAATTAAGGATAGACAATTACAGAAGAGATAATAATAATTTTAATTACGGGTAAACAGCTAGAAATGGATAGTATGGCAATCGAAGAGGCAACAACTCCAGTTAAGACAAACAAGAGTCAAATAGGCAATAAGAGTGGAACATGAAACAACTAATTCCAATTAAAACACGTAGAGGTGAAACTAGTAAATGTGAAAACTTAATCATAACAAAACAACTTCATATTTAGTGAATATAAGGACCTAAGATCCCTAAAAGGTCAACTTTTCCACAAATAAGCCGAGCACGTACTTGTCACCTCGCGTACACGGACATTACATGATACAATTAGCATCGGACGACTCAAATCTAGCCAATATAACTTCAAAGTACAAATAAAACTCATAAGAAACTATTCCAGATCATAAAGCCTCAATCTTTATCAAAAACTAAAAATCAACCCAAGAAGTCGACCCCCGGGCCTGCACCTCGGAACCCGACAAATTTCATAAAACCCGAACACCCATTCCTATAGGAGTTCAACCATACCAAAATTATCAAATTCCGATATCAATTCGTCCCCCAAATCATCATTTTACACTTTGAAAGTTTTCTTCAAAATCCTCATTTTTCTTCAACTCAAACACTAATTAAATAATAAAAATAAAAATAGAATCATGGAATATAATAAATTCTAGGTGAAGAACACTTACCCCAATGATTTTCTTGAAAAATCCATGAAGAAT